GTTTATACTTTCCTATGTATTCAAATCATTTGTCTTTTCAATAATATTAACTAGTTTTCTTCACAGAAATAGAGCACTGCATTTTCAGTTTGCTTTTGCGACTTTCTTTCTCCCTTCTGTCTGTACATCCTTCTGTTTTTCCTTCATCTCTCTCTCTCTCTCTCAATTTTCTTTCCCACCTTCCTCCCTCCCCTCAGGATTCTTTCTTCCTCCTCCCTCTCTCTCTCCCTCCCAATTTTCTTTCTTATTCTTTCTTCTTTATTTTAATCTATTGTTATTTAAAATATTTAGTTTTATTTATTATTGTTGTTATTATTATTATTATTATTAAATTTCCTATAGAACACATATGCTCACCAGAGATAGACACAGGGAGAAGGAGAGAAAGTGAGAAAGCAAGTCAACCATGTGAGAGTACAGCACCCCAACCACTGCGCTACCTACTGCCCTCTATTTTAATCTACTGTTAACAGGACCTTTTCTTCCAATGTATTTTCTAATGGATTAGTTATTTTGGCATAACAAAGATTTGATTTTTTCAGACTAGTATAATTTTAAAAAACGATTAGTATGAGTAGCTAGCATGCATTTTTACATTAATGATAACACATACAAAAGCGCATTATAATAGATGTACAATTTTGGGAGCCAGCAGATGGAGTGGTGGTTAAGTGCTGGACATTCCCACATGATTGACAATGGTTTGCATCCCAGACCTGGTGGCTTGCTTTCTCACTTTCTCTCTCTTTGGTCAAATTAAAATAAATGAATGAATAAATGAATAATTCTTTTAAAAAGAGACATACAATTTTAGAGAATTATAATAAACATTCAAAACCCTGCTGTGGGCCTCAAACACATAAAACACTGTCCTTTTCTAGTCCCTCTAGGAACCCTGTGCCCTGCTTTCCCTTCGTCCTTCCAAGTAAACTAGTTTGTTGAATTTTGCATTGACCATTTCCTTGATTATGTGTATAGTTTTTCAGGAAATTAGTATAAATTCTCCATAATGTACTTTAAGTTGTATCTATTATGACCTATATTTAAATGGCATATGCTCTTTGTTTTTTATTCAGGTTTTGGGATTCATCTATTAATATTTTAGGGAAAGGAGCTGTTGTTTTTTTAATTTTTTTCCAATGAAGTTCCTTGCTAGCTAAAGTTTCATTTGTGACTATTGAAAAATTAATACCCACCCTGCTTGTGATAGACCCTTGAATTATTTAGTTTATTTGTTATTACAAATAATGTTGCAATATACTTACTTTTACAAGTCACTAGCTATTCTTGTGAAAGAGTTTGCTAAAGTATGTACCTAAAAATGTTGTATCTGAATCATAGAGACATTACACTTAACTTTAGCTTACAAGATAATGCCCACTTATTTTCCAAGTATTTGTATCAATCTCTAGCTTCATTGCTCCATATGCTTTTCAACTCTTGGTTTATTACATGTGTATATACTTTTTTAAAATTTCTAAACATTTAAGCATAACAGCCATATCAGAAAGTGCAGGTGTAAATGTACAGCTACTGAGATATTCACACACTAACTACATCCAATGTCAAGACATAAAACATTACCAGTAACCCAGAAATCCCTTTCAGGCCCCTTACAATCTCTCTATAGGTAAAACTATCCAGGGTACTAATATCTAATTGGTCAGTTCAGTTGGTTTTGTATTTTACATTAATAGAATCATACAATATGTAATTTTTTTGTGACTGACTTCTCTTGGTCAACCTTGTCTACAGTTCTCCCACAACTTATTCATCCAATTGATGATTAACAGGATTAAATTATACAAATAGTACTTCACTGGATGTTCTAGTACATATTTTTTAAAGAACATGTATGTGTTTTTTGTCCATTTTTAAAACATTTATTTATTCAGTCAATAAAAGAGAGAGAGAGAGAAAAGACATAGATTCAAGATCCCTGACAGGGTCTTGATGCCATAGTCCACTCTGCAGTATATAAGAGTTCTGATTATTTCAATCCTTGACAATATTTATTATTGTCTATCTCTAGTCTAGACATTCTAGTGGGCATATAATGGTATTTTATTTGCATTTTTCTAATGACTAATAGGAAAATTAAAAAATCATTAAGAGGAATTTCATAGAAGGGAAATTATAACTATACATAAACATATGAAAGGATGTTAAACAATATTAATTATCAAAGCATGTCAATTAAATGAAAAGAGCTAAGTTCATAACTAACAGAGGGGCAGCTTGTATTTTCCCCACATTACTTTTTTCAGGAGTACCTATGCCTTTTGCTCTTCCACAGACATTAATGTGTCAATATCTATATAACGGTCAGTTGGTGTATTTGTTACAAGTGTATTGAACCTCTTGATCAGTATTTCTCAGTGGTTGTTCAGTGGGGATTCTGAATGTGGCAATTGTTTATCAATAGCACTGTCACAATCTTTACTGTCAAGCCTACCCTGCCTATTAAATGCGTTAACATGTTTGAAATTCTGTGCCACTTGGAATAAAGCTGGGAAAGGAACTTGGGAGATATCCAGCACAGTCTGCCTCCTAAGGCATAGAGAAGTGAGGAAAACAGTAGAGAATGGGTTGGAGGAGATAAGTGTCCTACAGTTAAGGAGATACTGTTTCTACACAATAGTTCATCTATTCATTCTTCAGTTGACTGAATTCCATGCCCTAGTAGTTTCTTCAAGAAAGATTCATTACAATGATTTTATCCTGAGTTTTTGTAGTTTAAAAATGTATTTTTGTTATCTTCATAGTTGAATGTAATTTTACCCAATATAAAATATTTCAGTCACAAATTTCTTTATGATTACATAACACTGCCTGCTATATATTTTAGGTTGAATATTAAAGTGGAAAATTCTAATGCCTGTGGTTTTTTTTAACATATAGGCAACTTTGATTTTTTGCCTAAATGTTTAAAATTTTTAAACCTTTTAAAGTTTCATTATTTTATTAGCAAATATCTTAATATTACATTCTGTATAAAATAGTTCTTAAAAATGATTTATCATCTCAATATAGTTGATCATCTTTTCATTTCACAAATTATATCTTTGAAGAACTTTCTGTTGTAATTATTCATTTTATTCTTAGAGGGTATCATTTATGCATATTTACATTTCTTTCATCTATATTCTATATCTATCATATTACCTTGATTTTTAAAATTGTTTCTTGCTGGGCCAGCCAAGCGAGGTGAAGGGAGCCGAATGCTACAGCTGACCGTGGTTAGAACCTAGACTGGAAAGCTTAAAAAACACACCAGATATGTGTGTATGTGACCAAATCCCAACAGGATGGAGAGATTGGAGAAAAGTGACTGTGGTTAGACCATACCCTACCGAGGGATGCTTTCTCTCTCTTTTCCTTTCTCTCTCTCTCTGTTACTTTGGTAAGTACACACACCCTATGGCAATTTAAAAAAGTAGAAATGAATAAAACTGTTCTTTGCTGGTTTTCATTTTATTTTTTCATTATTTCTCAACCCCCATTCTCCTTGTCCTTTACCAGGTTGTCGACAATATATTATTTTCTCTTTTGTGGATTTTAATGCAGTTTCAATTTGTGTGTGTGTGTGTGATACTTACACATTTTTATAATACTTTTCCCTTGTACTCTAAAAGCTTGTTCTTCATGTATTCCCATTGACCTATCATAATTTCTCTATGTGCTGATATCTGTACTTTAGATCTTTATTTTAGAAAGATATTTATCATGTTTTATCTGCTCTGAAGAAACACTTTCCAAAATTTGTTTTTCTTCTTTCTTTTTCCACTTTAAGTATCTCTGTAGGAAGATACTGGTTTTCTTTTAAAATTACTTTCTTGGGAGTTTCATAATAGTTAAATAAAGACATTTATTTATGGAAATTTCCAGAGTAGAATTTAGAATAAGAAGATTGCTTTCTGGTAGGAAATCAAATTCTCATGACACGGGAGTTTTCTTTGTATGTGTATTGGTGTGTTCATTATTCCTCTGTGGATTCCAAGGTTGAACAAATTCAGTTTGTCATCTGCCCTGACTTAGAGTCCTCTCTATAAATCACTGGGAGTGACTGAGAATCACCTCACTCCTTGCCATCTCTGCTTCTCCATTGTACTAAACACAGGAAGGGAAGACCCTACTACCAAACTGAGCTGGTAATTTCAAATTAAGAATAATCAGTTTTGATTGTCATAGGGAGAATCTAGTGGGAAAGAGATATTTTGTTGTTTGTTCAAGACAAAAGACTTTGGTTGTCTTTTAGTGTCTTCCTGCACTTCCTCCATCACCAGTTTTTTTTTAAAAACTTGACTGTATTAGGGCCAACAGGTGACATGGTGGTTAAGGCACTAGACTCGAATCCCGGACTTAGTGGCTTGAAAATCGTGTGTGTGTGTGTGTGTGTGTGTGTGTACTTGTGTGCATGCTCAAGATCCAGGAGAATAGGGGAGAAGGAACTGTGCTGTGACCATCCCCTGTAGGTGGTGATTTCTCACTTTACTTCTCACTGTCTCTCTCTGTCTCTCTTCAGCATGTTCACATGCCCTATGGCAAAAACAAACAATCATAAAACAAAATGAAACAAAAAAAAACTGGGTTTACTTGCTCTTTCTCATCTTCAGTACTTTGTGATTTCAGGTATCCATGTTCTGTTGAAGATGATGTTTGCATGTATCTTTAAATTATTCTTATTCATTGAGTAGTGATTTTTTAACTGGTAAACAGGAATAATCAGCAGTGGCATGCCACCATTGTAAATTTTGGAATCTTTCCTGTTGAACACATTTGATATAATCTTTACTTACACAGCTATACTCCATGTGTACTGGAGTGGAACTACAGTTCCACACTCCACTCTCATGTTAACCTCTGTTTATCACAGGCATCACCATGGAAGGTGCTGTCCATCCTGATTTATTATTGTTTTTTAAAAGCTCCCTTCCCATTGCTATCCCATTCTGTACCTTTTAAGACAAATTAGAAAATGAATACTGAATTCCATTTACCTATTAAGATAACTGCTGCCCTCCTCAGATATGTTCTGGAGCTCCTCAGGAATCCTAAGGTATCACCTATCAAATCTGTGATGTAGTTCCTTTGAGAAATAAGCTGAAAACAAAAGGGGAAAACTTCACAGTTATTGAATAAGCACATTTGCTCCCTGCAGTTTTTTCAAGAGAAAGGAATGTGGTTGCTTTTATCAAATCAGGACCAATTTAATATTTGGGGGGTATATGTTTGAACCACACTGTCCTGCTTACAGGAATGATTTAATCAGTGGTACGATTGAAATAAACAGCCCCACACCACCCCTCGTCTATCCCTGCAGATCATGATGGTTCTCAGAGGACCCGCTCATGAGACAATGGTGATGTGATTCCAGTTTCCCATTTGGTGATCTGGAATGACGTTCCTATCCCCCAAACTATCCAAAGCTCAAAGTAAGTGGGTTGCAGGAAAAGGTAAGATGCCTAATCAATAACTGAGAAAGAGGAAGTAGAAGATTTTAATTTTCTCTTCTCCCTAGCCCTAGCTGTGATCATTCATTTAGTATCTTCTCTTCACATCCTTCCTCCAACATCTGCCCTTAAACCCACCACATTTTTCACCACTTTGGATATCTTATCTGTTTTCTCTATAACTTATAGTAGTAAAAGTAGAAAAGCCACTTACAAAAGTGTTACAAATGCTGAGCACCACCAGCTCAAAATTGTAATATTCATCTTGGAGAAAATATGATGTTGACCACTGTAAATGTGAGTCACAGATTTCTAACGTATATTTACATGCCTGCAAGATAGAAAAAGTCCGTGAGGTCCCAGCCCAGTGGTGCAGGGTGTAGGGCATTGCTGTGTGATACTGGGACCATGTATGGAGGCACTGCCTTCAAATCCTGAGTCAACCTGAATGCCTTAAACCCACTATGATCCTGGCTGACTGGAAAGTTTGGGTAGGGGGAGGGATCTTGGCATGGTGAGGCCCTGTCAAGGGCACTGGTCTCTCTGTTTATCTCTTATGCCACAAATAAGTAAATGAAAGAAAGGACAAAGATCAGCAGGATCTATTCATCTGCTATTAGGTAAAACACTGTGATTCTGGGCAAAATTTAAAAGAACCAGACCAAGGACTTACTTTAACTACTTTTATCTCAGATTCCTCCAAAAACAGAATCAGAGGCACCAAGCCTTTTAGGACCACATGTTTCAGCATCTGTTTGTTCAGACTCATATCTTTAACTAGTAAACCGAAGTGTCGAATAGCAGTACTCCGAATATTTTCACTAATCTGGAATATGCACATAGAAGAAATAAAGCAGCTTTTTTTTAGGAAAACATTAGCAAGTGTTTCTTTAATCAGTAGAGTGTATACATTTACACATATATGTACTATACATGAATACATCTGCATATATACATATGTAAGTATCATAATTTATTTTTAAAAATGAATCACCTTGGGTCCAAATAGTCAGCTCTTCTTTTGATTTTATAATTAGACTTGCTTACATATTCACAACAGGCAAGATGTGGGATCAATCTAAGTATCCATCAATGGAAGAAAGGGTAGAGAAAATGTGGCATATACCGTATGTGTGATAGAATACAATTCTGCCTTTACAAAGAAAGAAATTTGTCACTTTCAACCATATGGATGAACCTAGGAGATGTTTTGCTAAGTGAAATCAGTCAGGCACAAAAGATAAATACCCCCACAATCTCACTTATATGTAAAATCTAAAAAAGTCAGACTCATAGACACAGAAAGTAGAAAGATGTTTACCAGGCAGGGGCTGGAGGCTGGGGGTGGGAAAATGGGAAATATATTAGTTAAAAATCTAAAGTTTCCTGGCTTCCATTAGATAAGATGAATAAATTCTGGAGATCTAATGTAAAGTATGGTGAGTACAACTAATGATCATGTATTTTATATGTCAGAATTTCTAACACAATAGATTTTAAACGCATTCACAAAAAAAATGGTATGTAGTGTGATGGGTATTAAGTTAATGAATTTGAATGAATCATTTCACAGTTTATACATGTATCACATTTTACATTAAAATATATACCATTTGTATATGTCAATTATGCCTTAATGAAGCTGGGAAAATATTTAAACTGGTAAAAAAAAAATAAGTTACTGTTTTACTTAAATTTATTTATTTACAGTCATTCACTACATCATTACAGCATACAAAATGAGATTTTCCATCCAGAGTACACTGTATATCGTCTCAATCAAGCACATCAACAAATGTGTTATTGTCAACAAATAATTTCCCATTTCTTGCTTCCTGTATGTTTTGCTTTTTTTCCCCATCCTTGATTCCCTATCTCTTACCCTCTGCCATCCCCCACTCTCCTCCCACACTGTCTCTGGTATCTATGTTTACTTTCTATACTGTTTTTGCCCCACATTTTATTGAATTACTAAAGACCTTAATTAATCTAAATATTTTCATAGCAAACACAGTTGATATATACATTTCCATGAACACAAGTCTAACTTTAGGCATCCTATAAAGTAGCACTTAGCTGGGGCTATATATATTACTGCAGTCATTGAATAGATATTTTTTTTTCTGAAACTTTTTTCTGTAACTTAATTTACATTCTTCCCCTCACCCATCCTACCCCTGTAAAACTCCTTCTATAATAAAT